GCCCTCCGTCGAGGCGAGCGGTAATGCAGAGCGCGGGCGGCGGAGGCGGAGGCCGGCGGCCGCAGCCGCCCCTGGCCCAGCCCTCAGCCAGCCCCTACCCCGAGGCCGTGGAGCTGCAGCGCCGGAGCCTGCCCATCTTCCAGGCGCGGGGGAAGCTGTTGGCCCAGCTCCGGAACCTGGACAGCGCCATCCTCATCGGTGAGAGGCCGCGCGGCCGCGTCCCTCCGGGTTCTCGGTCCCTGGCTCTGCGAGCGTAGTTGTTCTTAGGTGCCTCTCACACTCTTCCATTTGTTTCTACAACAAACGCGACCACCTTTTCGGTGCCAGGCCCGGGGAGGGGCCGCGGAGGAGTCGGGCCGCCCTGCTGTGCAGGTGCCGTCGCCCGCTGGGAGCGGGGTTCGGCTTTAGGCAAAGACTCCCCTTCCGTGCGGAAGGGTCGAGGGGCTCGCCCGGACTTCGGGGACTTAGAAGGGTGTATCTGAGCCAGTCCCGGAGGAGGCGGAGGGGGGGGCGGGGGAGGTGTCCTCAAGGGAGGTTATTCTATGCCAAGGGGAGAGCTGCGTGAGAGACGAAGTGGAGGCGAGAAACAGCCCGGTCTCCGGGAGGAAGTCGTTTCTGGTGCATGAACTAAAAGGCAGAGTTCCCTGTGAATGTGGGGACTGATTACAAGGGGCTTTGATCCCCGACGTTTAAGTCAGAGGCGCTTCCGAAGGACCGAGAGGATGGGCCTCCAAAGAGGGGAAGGAAACCCAGAAGAGCCTAAAGTCAGAAGAATAGTTATAAGAAGAGGGGAGTCGCCGGCCGGTGTGGCTCAGCGGTTGAGAATCAACTAGGATCGCGGCTCGATTCCGGGTCAGGGCACATGCCCGCGCTGGGAGCTCGATCCCCAGCAGGGGGCCTGCAGGAGGCAGCCGATCAGTGACTCCCTCATGATTGATGTTTCTGTCTCTCTCCGCCTTCTTTCCTGTCCCTGAAATCAATAAAGATATATTTTTAAAAGGAAGACGCAGAGAGGCATGAACAGATGGAGCAACGAAGTCCAATAATGTTTGGATCTCCAAAATGCCCACTGGATTTGTATTGATTGTGAACCCATTGAGCACTGTTTTAGGCAAGGTGGGGGGTAGGAGCTGATTGTCATTAAGCTGAGGAGTAGGTAAGAGGTGAGGGAATGAAGGCAATGGGAGCTGGCTTCTGTTTCGAGGGGAAAAAAGGGGGCTGAGAGGAACTTGCAAGTATGTATTAATAGACTGAGCAGACCTCAGCAGAAAGGGAGACTGAAGATGGAAAGTGGCCACTAATAGAGCTGAGCTCAGGGGTCATGGGAAGGGGGCACTTGGCAACATGGGCTGGAAGTAGAATTGGGTCTTTAATACGATGGAGGATACCCAAGAGGCTGTAGGGCTGGAGAAAGGAGGTGAGAATGGGTGAGACTACAGAAAAGCTTCCTGGGGGAGGTAGAGGGAGCTCACATTTGAGGGCATCTCTTTTTCTATGAAATAGGCGCAGGAGCTCTGCTGAGAACGGGAGTTTCAGGGCCTCAAGTGGGCCTTAGGGGAGTGAGATCAGAAGACAGGATGCAAAAGCAAGAAAAGGATGGACGGTAGTGCTGGGGCTCAGGTGCGTTTGGCCCCACTGCAAACTCAGGTCTTTGTCTGCACAGGTGGGTTAGTTATTTTGCTTTATCAGTGCTCAGCTGCCTGGTGTAGGGGCAGAAGAAATGGAAAGGGAGAGATTCATCCAATTTGGGAGTTTTCCCTGGTGGATTCAGCAGGAGGAGGGCAGAATAACCAAATTCTTAGTCCATGATCTTGGCTAGATCAGGAAGGATGAGCAGTCAGCAGGGAGAAAATGGAAGAATGATGGTACTGTAGGAATGTGAGGTCAGAGAGGTGTAGTTGTAGCAAAGAGGGGAAACATGCACAGGTTGACTGAGTTCTTTGTTCTAAGTAGGTACTGCTAAAGGAACCCACAAGGGAGAAAATAACATCGAGTGCTTTGTTTTTACTATACCTATTGTTGAACATTTATATTGTTTCCAGTTTTTGTCTTCACGAACAAAGTTGAATAAAACATCTCTGAAGCTGTATCTTTAGGTACATCTTTAATTATTTCCTTAAAATCAGTTCCTGCAAGTGGAATTGTGGGTTAAAAGGTATAAACATTTTAAAGATTTTTCTGATATAATTTGGCCTTCTGAGAAACAATTCCAATTAACACTCCACCAATGGTATTTGTGAGTACCCGGTTTCCTGTGGCTCTATCAACTTTGAGTATTTTCTTTTTCTTGTTCTTCCAACTTTGATAATTTGTGTGGTGAAATTTGTCTTAATTTGCATTTAAATGAGACTTTTTTCTTTCCTAGGAGAAACTGGCTCTGGAAAGACGACTCAGATCCCTCAGTACCTCTATGAAGGGGGGATTGGCCGCCAGGGCGTCATTGCTGTGACCCAGCCTCGGCGAGTGGCTGCCATCTCACTTGCTACTAGAGTCTCAGATGAGAAGAGAACTGAACTCGGGAAGCTGGTACCTCATTTCCTTCTTTACCAACATTTCTCCCTCCCCTGCCTTTTATTTTTCTGAACAATACTTTTTCTACATAATGAGCTTCTTTCTTGCCACAATTGTCTAGGTCTATCTCAGAGTTCTTTACCAGCTCCTAAGAGATCAGAGGGTCTGACAGGCTGTCAGGTCCCATTTGCTTTGCTTTCTAAATCTGTTAACAAGTTGCATAAATTAGTTGTTTTCCTTTAGCATTTTTAAGGCTTCAGTAACCTCTGTTAAATCTCTTATCTCTGTGTCTCTCTAGGAAAATTGTTAAGCATTTTTCTAGTATATATGTGGGTATCTAGAATGAGTCTCAGAACTGTGTATAAGTCGGATTTATTTGTGTGTGTGAGTGTTTGTGCATTTCACTTGAAAACATCTTGGACATCTTTTCATGTTTGTACATAGCTTCACTTGAAGCTATTGAGTAGCCAGGGGTAGGAGGCTAGTTTTAAATTCTTGGTCATGCTCATTCTAATGCAGTTAAAGGTACATGTCCATTGCCTGTCAGCCACCAGACTGCCTGCTGCCTCGAGGAGCAGGGCAAGGTCAGTGTTGGTCTTGTTTGCTGTGATGGCTCAAGTGCCTGGCACAGTGCTGGTTACATAGTGGGTGCTCAACATGCATTTGATGAATAAGTAATTTCTCTGCACAGGTTGGCTATACAGTGCGCTTCGATGATGTCACCTCAGAAAACACCAGGATCAAGTTCCTGACAGATGGCATGCTTCTGCGTGAAGCCATTTCAGACTCCCTGCTTCGGAAGTACAGCTGTGTCATTTTGGATGAGGCTCACGAGCGGACTATCCACACAGATGTGCTCTTTGGAGTGGTGAAAGCCGCACAGAAGAGGCGAAAGGAGCTGGGGAAGCTGCCTCTCAAAGTAGGTGCAGCACGCTTAAGGTGCAGCCTGTCTTTCTCCCTCGGGGTGTTCTTCGCCCTCCTGCTTCAGGACCGCGGACAGAGTCAACCGCAGTGGGCGTGGCGCAGCCTTATCACCTGCTTGTAGAGCTTGGGAGAGACTAAGAAAGGCTGTCGCCGTGTCTGTTTCCATCTCGTACCTAGGTGATTGTGATGTCGGCTACGATGGATGTGGATCTGTTCTCTCAGTATTTCAATGGAGCCCCTGTCCTCTACCTTGAGGGTCGGCAGCATCCAATCCAGATCTTTTACACCAAACAACCTCAGCAAGATTACCTGCATGCCGCACTTGTCTCAGTCTTCCAGATTCACCAGGTATGGGATGGGGGGGCCAATTCCTGAAGAGGCCAGTTTTCCCTCACAGTTGATACAGTTGTGAGCCTTGGAAGGAAAAGCTACTGAATGAGACAGCTTGGTGAGCCGTGTCATTAAGATGCATCAGGAATTCACTTACCATGTCCAGGTTCTTATCCTTTTTGGTATCTCTTAATTTTCTCTAAAAATAAGTTAACCCTGACCAGCATCTTTACTCACCTGAGCCTGAAAACTTCCATAGGTTAGAACAGTGGTTCACAAGCATTTCTTTATCATAACCCCTAGTCAGAAGCACATTTTATGTTGCAACCCAGTACATTGAAATAAGTCTTATGAAACACTGCCTCCTTTACTACACATGATAGTTTCTGGTATTTTCTACCTCACATTTAAAAAGTTGGCATTGACCCAATAATGGGTTCCAATTTAGAGATTTTTTTTTTAACTGTATTAGAGAAACCTTTCCAAATCTCTTCTCATTTTATTAAACATTTACTTAAAACTTGAGTGAGTAGATCACCTCATTTTTGTTCATTTAATTTGTATAAAATTGACTGTTTTTATCTTCCCATTAGCTTTCTGAAAAAAGCTAGAGGCAAACTTTTAAAAATTAATTTCCATTTTAAATCTAAGTGATGCGTGTACAGTTCGAAGTTTAAAGAGTTAAGTCATTAATTCTAAAAGGCTCATAAAAAAAAAAGGGGGTTACTTTTTCTTCCCCATAGCAGGTCCTGCCCTTAGAGTAACCACTCTCAGTTTCTTAGCTCTTTCCCCTGGATACTGCTTTCGTATTTCTAAAATAACCTGCTTATATTGCAATTTGTTGACTTACTGATATTAGGCAGTATATGGCAATCTCTTACCCTTGTAGATGAGCATTTAGAAATACCCCTCTTGCACCTCTTCTCTCCTTCATCTCTCAACATAGTTACATCACACTGTTTTTTAAGTCCAGTATCAGTATTTACAATACTATGTCCCTACATTGCTGGCAGTACACCATCTCAATGCCTCCTTCCGCGCACACACAATTGTATAAGTTTTCAATGTATGTATGGCTAATTTTCCCCCCAAGTATTCCAAAGTCTATCATATGCCAATCATGAATATTTGTTTTGTGTTCAAACATATCCCACTTTTCCCAGAGTCCCTTTTAGTGCTCTCCTGGACCTCTGTGTAGCTGTTGTCCTGGCTCTTTCCTTAGCCAGCCCCCTGTGTGGAATCCCATTAAGGCACCCTGTGTCCTCCCAGCCTCCTGGCTGCATCGGGCTGAGGAGGGGACCTGGGGGGTTTAACAGACTCAGACTTTGGGCCAATCCCTGGGTTCTCACCCTCCCACAACCCACCTCTGCGTTGCACCCAAGTCCTGAGCCCTTCTGGCTTCTCCAGGGAAATTGGCACATCTCTTGTCACTATTCCCTTTAGCAGGCGCCCAGGTCGGAATTTCCTCTGCCCAGCCGAGTCATTCACCCTCTGCGCTAATCTCTTCCGTCTTTTGCAAATGGGTTGAAACTTTTAATCTTTTCTCCCATTGTCTTTGTCTTTCTGGACTTATACCTTCTGTCCTCCTGATAGTATTTAGAAAAGAAGGTCAATCTGCCTTAACTTCCAAAAGCCAACCTCAGATGAGGCTTTTTCATGAATTTAGGCTACATGGTGGCTTTGATGAGTCCTCCCATGGATGATGTTTTGACTATTTTAGACTTTGTACTGTCTGTGTGTACCTCTGGACATTTGTCCTGTCAATACTGGGCTACAAATACAGGTACATACACATAAGCTTACATTTACATATACTCACATGTCATTATCAAACATTTTTTCAGTTATTCTGTCATCAAGTATTTTACAAGTGTACTTGAACAGACTTCGAAGAAAAATCAGGTGAATGAGTGTCTTGTTAACACTTGGATGTTCTTCCCTTTGCAAGGTGGAATGCTTTTAATAATGCCTAGTAATCCCACTTTACCTTTTTTATAGGAAGCCCCTTCTTCTCAGGACATCCTGGTGTTCCTCACTGGTCAGGAGGAAATCGAAGCAATGAGCAAGACCTGCCGAGACATTGCAAAGCACCTCCCAGACGGCTGCCCCTCCATGCTGGTCCTTCCTCTGTACGCCTCCCTGCCCTATGCCCAGCAGCTCCGTGTCTTCCAGGGGGCCCCAAAGGTGAGGGCACCTCCTCTGTCCAGCCCCATCCCTGGGAATGCAGATGGATCCAACAGTGGGGCCTGTAGGTATGCCTGTCACCAGACTCCAGATAAGGTGTGTGGGACAGGATGCTCAGGCGCCAGATCCAGTAGCTGAAAAGCTGCAGGAATAGAATACGTAGCCATAGATGCAGCTCTCTCATGGTAAGAACAGGGAAACAGTTGTCAGGGGATGAGGGAGAGTCCAAGGACAAAAGCTGAAAGGTCCAACCTAACAAACCGCATTCGTCCATAATGGCATTTATTGGGTGCCCATGCTGTGCCAGGCACTGTGCTAGCATTTACATTTTACATACACTGTCTCTCATCCTCCCGAGAACTGGCAAGGTCAGTTAAGATCCCATTTAATAAACTGAGGCCCAGAGAAGTGAAGTAACAATTGCTTAAGGGGCACACAGTAGGTAACTGGCAGCGCCAGGGTTCCAACCCACATCTACCTGCTTCTGAATCTTGTGCCTGTTCCACTACATCTCATCGTCTCAGAATAAGCTTTTAAGACCGGAACACCCCCTCCCTCCCATCCAGTTTAATGACCAACCATCAGTATTAATAATTGTCATTAGTAACAAAGTCATGTTTTCTTGATCATGAGTGAAGTGTGGCAATTAATGGTGAGGAATGTTTTAAAACTTCTGAATCATATGTGTGTCATACGGCTTTTTGGTTTTCTTCCTCCTTTTAGGGCTATCGCAAAGTGATCATTTCAACCAACATCGCTGAAACCTCCATAACCATTACAGGAATAAAATATGTAGTAGACACGGGCATGGTTAAAGCAAAGAAGTATAACCCTGGTGAGAATTTGTAGCTCATGAATGTCTCTTCCATGTGTGGCGAGCAACCACTGAGTTTCCTGTAGTCCCAGTTTCCCCCAAATGAGCATTTCATGTTTGTAACTAACTGAGTTTTGGGTGGCAGGTACCAAAAGTGAGACAATGTGGAGGCAGGTCCAGAAAGGGGACCTGAGGCATGTACATGAGACAGGAAAGCCTGGCAGAAAGAGAAGGGAGTAGAGAGGCGTCAACAAGCCTGTCAGAAGTTGAGTGAGAATGGTGACACTAGAGCCGGAGACAGCTTGATACCACATCAAAGGCTTTCATCAGGAGTGGTGTTTGAGCATTGTTGAGTCGAGCTCCAGGTTTCCCAGGATTCCAAGGCACTAGCAGTCATTTTGCTTCGTGTCTGTTGCACACCTTGCTAGAGGATTTGAGGCAGCTGGAATTATCACTCCCAGGTATTTAACTGAAATGCACTACTCAGCTGCTGACGTTCACTATGTATCTCTTAGAGAATACATGTGAAAGGGCTTGATCTCCAGTACCTGGCACAGAGTACACCTTTATCAAGAAAATGTCTCTCATCTACTCCTAGACTAACAACATCACATTGTCTCTTTTATAATTAAAATGGGAGGGGGGTTACAGTGTACAGGGCTGGAGGTATTTCATTTCTGAGTCATTCATTCATTGATAGGGTGACAGCCATCCTAGTTTGCCAGAGACTGTCCTGGTTTTATCACCGAAAGTCCCAAGTCCCAGGCCAAGTGGGGTGGTTGTCACTCTATGATCTAAGCCAGACCTCTGAAATTTACTCTCCTGGCCCCCTGCTACAATCATGAAGTTTTTGTGATTTTTTTTTTTTATGTTTTTACTGATTTCAGAGAGAAGAAGGGATAGATAGAAACATCAATGATGAGAGTCATTGATTGGCTGCCTCCTGCACACCCCCTCCTGGGGCTCAATCCCCACAACCCTGGGTATGTGCCCTGACTGGAATCGAACTGTGACCTCCTGGTTCATAGGTCGATGCTCAACCACTGAGCCATGCTAGCTGGGCTTTCTGATGTTTTAATAAGAGATTTCAGTGTCTACTACAAGTCCTCATTTCACTGCAGAACAGTCTAGTTTTGTGCTTTCTGATTTAGCCGAGTTTTTCTGGACTCAGTATCGCAGAAAGGATCACTGGTGTTCTAAGGAATGCTGCTTTTTGTGCACTCTGTAGACAAACACTTTGTTTATGTGATGGGTGAAGCACTAATGTGGGCTATTCTCCCTCCAGATAGTGGCCTGGAGGTGTTAGCTGTGCAGAGGGTGTCGAAGACCCAGGCCTGGCAACGCACAGGACGCGCTGGCAGAGAGGACAGTGGCATCTGTTACCGGCTCTATACAGAGGATGAGTTTGAGAAGTTTGAGAAGATGACCGTGCCAGAGATCCAAAGGTGGGCCCGAGGTACTCCTGCAGCCCTGCCATTTGTCCCCACACCTCCCTTTCCTGCTTGCTCAGGTCTCCCCAGAGCTGCAGTTCTCACTGACACTCCTCAGTGGATGGTTCTGACTTGCCAGCTGGAGGATCAGGGAGAGTGAATGGTGCACATCTCTCACTCCTCGCAGGTGTAACCTGGCCAGTGTGATGCTGCAGCTCCTAGCAATGAGAGTCCCCAACGTGCTCACCTTTGACTTCATGTCCAAACCGTCTCCAGGTGAGTGGAATCTTCAGTGGAGTGGAAGGTGTACAAGTAGACAAGCAACAGCAGAGGACTCTCAAAAAGTATTCTCGTGGTCTCCTTTGGTTTAACCTGGTGGAGAGCAACATTAACTGTCAGAGGAGAGTCATGAAGGGTAGATTCAGTGCCATCAGCACCATCCCAGTGCAGAAACCATGGCTTCATGTAAGGACTCACAGTTGGGTCCTTGACCACAGGAACCATTGAAAGTAGTTGAGGGAGGTCCATGGGTTATACAGAAACCTAACAAAATCGTACTTCTGCCAGCAAAAGGACTGAAAAGATCAAGTTTCTTTGCTTTTGACTAGAATTTAATCAGTTCTTGCCCTTCATTGATCTCTCTGTGGAGCGACCAGAAGTAAGGATTTTCCTAGTGATAGCTTTAGCACTTGACATCTCCTCAGTCCATGATTTTCCTTTTCTTTTTTTCCTCTCTTTATTAAGTGAAGAAATGCAATCTGTGAGTGTGTGTGCGTGTAAGTAAAAATTGATGGGTGTACAAGGGTCCCGCTGCCTATCTTCAGGTTCTAAGCTTCCTGTCCCTAAAGCAATCCCATGACCATTTTCTAGTTGTCTTCTAGAGAAAAGTCTATGCATATGCAAGTATATATAGTCTCTTTTAAAACACATGGCACACTGTTCTACACTTATTTTTTCCAGTTTTATTGCGATGTAATTGACATACATCACTGTATAATTTAAGGTGAACAGCATAATGATTTGCCTTACGTAGATTATGAAACGATTACCACTTACAAGTTTAGTTAGCATCCGTCATCTCATATAGATACAATAAAAAGCGAAAGCAAAAAAAAAAGAAAAGCATTATATGGTTTTTTTCATTGCTAAATTCCTACACACAAAGGAGGAACATACATGTAAGGTAGAGGAGTAGTAAAACCAAGACCTGTGCACCCCTCACCAGCTCCCTTGCAGCCCCCGGGCCCTCCCCGCCTCACTCGCTTCCTTCCCACTCCCTCGAGGGAACCGCCCTCCCACACTTTGTGGTCCCCTGCTTTCCTGTAATGTGTTAGTCTGTGGGCATGTATCCCTAAACAGCATGTTGTTCTCATTTGCATGTTTCTGTGTCAGTTCTTCAGTGACCTTCCCTTTCCATTCCTTCTCTTCCGTAGGATTTGTGTTGGTGCGTTTTCACCACCAAATGCTCTTCCACTCTGTGAGTAAAGCAGAATGCACTTAGCCATACTCCTGGCGACCGAGACATTTGCACATTGCCTTTTGCACCTAATATATTTTACGGATCATTTCCTCTCAGTATGCATCTATTTATTACATTTTAGGAGTGCTTTTTTATTCTTTAATAGGTAGTGCGTTTACGTGGTTCAAAATTCAACAAGTATGAAAGAGTGATCAGTGAATAGTGGCCTCCTCGCCAGGGGCCCTGGGATTTCCGCTGTGGTGTGTGTGCTTCTGGAGATACTGGTCCCTGCACATTGTATGAGCATGTCTGTGGGCGAAGTTCTTCTTTTTAAAAATTCTTTGTTTGTTTATTTCATATTTTTTCTTTGTGGGTGAAATTCTTACGTGTAACATCGCTGGGTTCAATGTTTACATACATATTGCCAAATTACAGACGGTTCTTTAAAAAGGGAATAGAACTGAAGACAGTGATGTCATTAACAGCTTTGAAAGTCTGTCCTGGGGACAGTGGTGGTTGTGACCTTTGCTGTGGTTTGATCAGTTGTCAAGTTACCAGAAGCTCCCAGAAGTACTGCCCTAGTTGCAAACTTCTGTTTTTGATTTTTGGCTCCTTTTTATGTCTTTTTCTTTAGATCATGTTCAGGCGGCCATTGCCCAACTGGACCTGTTAGGTGCTCTTGAACACAAGGATGACCAGCTTACCCTGACTCCCATTGGAAGAAAGATGGCAGCATTTCCCTTAGAACCCAAATTTGCCAAAGTAAATGGTACCCTCTCTTCAGTTATCTATCCCAAAGGAGAGTTCTAAACTCAGTGCTTCTAGATCAGTCTTCAGTTTTCTCCTGAATCAGGGGTGGGGAATGTCTGGCCCGCAATACCATTTGGTCTGGCCCTGCCAAGGCAACCACAGGTGGGACTCAAAATTCAATAAATGTAGGAGCTTTTTCATAGCTAATTTTTAAGTTGATAACTTTGTATGGCCCACAAAGGATGTTATATAAATAGCCAAATGGCCCTTGGCAGGAAAAAAGATTCCCCGCCCTAAATAATTATCCACTCCTACTTTGTGTCTAACAATGATTTATGTTCTTTGTGGGCTTAGAACTCATATTAAGTCATGAACCCTACCCACAAGGAATTTGGAATCCTGTGGGGGGCCAGGCAATCATTTGTTTTACAAGCAAGTCAAGTAATGTTAAAACAGTCATGGTTTTAGAAACACTGGCCCTTTAATGCCTTAGAAGGGAAGCTGCAAAAGCAATATACAGAGATACTGCATTCAGAGCTAGGGAGAATTTTGGTTAACACAGTTTTTAATTTTGATTTGCAGACCATCCTCCTGTCCCCCAAATTCCACTGTACGGAGGAGATACTGACCATTGTCTCCCTGCTATCTGTGGACAGTGTTCTCTACAACCCCCCCTCCCGGCGGGATGAAGTGCAGAGTGTCCGAAAGAAGTTCATATCCAGCGAGGGCGATCACATCACCCTGCTCAATATCTACCGCACCTTCAAAAACTTAGGCGGAAATAAGGTGAGCCTTGTCTCGTTCCTCTTCTCAAATGAGACCTCGTTTCGGGCATGTGGACCTTCCTTTTGTGGCTGAATCATCTAAAGAGTTACAAAAAGAATGTCGAATGTCATTTCCGGAACATCTGTTTACAGCGACAGTACCAGGAAGGAAATGTGATTCCCACCTTCCTTCTGCCTGTGTTTATTTTGTACTTAGTGTGGGCAAGTTAGTTCAGTAGTTAGTGACCAGTTTCTTCGTTTCAAAATGGGGTTTTCCCCACCTGCCCATTACTGTCTTTGTAGTAGTTTTTGCTTGTATGATATTTCAGTTCTTTGGACCAAGATGGAAGATCAGTATACTCAGTACTTGTGCCATAGTGTGTGTGCTTTAACTTGGTCTGCATTTTAATGCAGTCAATTGTTAAAAAAAAAAAAAGCTACCACCCACTTTAAGCAGTTGTGAACGTTTTGCTCTATTTGTCTCAATTTGTTTTTAAGGACATAAAATGCTATAGATCTTATACAGCAAAAGCCTGCACTGCTCCTGTGTAGCCCTTCCTCCCTGTGTAACCGCTGTCCTGAAGTTGGAATGCGTTCCCATGGGTGGCAGCATGCTTTCGCTTCATGTCCGTGAACATTAGATAGTACAGATATTTGCAGCTTGTTTCCATGTCCAGCACTATGGTGAACATCAGTGCAGGTCTATGCACAGGGGGAGTGTTTCTCTGGGGTCGACACTGACAAGTGGACCTGCTGGTCTTGGGTAGCTGCATCCAGCTTTACCAGACTAGCCTGCGGCTCCCCGAAGCTGTCAGCATCTCTTTATTCTGCCCGTTGTGATGTATGAGTTTCCATTTCCTCCACCATCTCCAATGCTTTGTTGAAATGACTTTAATTTTTGCCAAGTGAAATAGTATCTCAGCTGTTTAAACTACTTTGCCTTGAATCCTCAAGAGACTGAGAATCTTTATATAAGTTTATTGGTTACTGGGTATTTCCAGTAAATCTGTTGAGTTGTCTGTTCATAGTCTTTGTCTGTTTTCTGCTGGACTGTTGGTCTTTTTCTTACTGATTTATAGGAGGTTCTTTTTTTATTTTATTTATTGATTAGGGGGGCATTGATTTGTTCCACTTTTTATGCATTTTGGTTGCTTCTTCTATGTGCCCTGACCCAGGATCGAACCTGCAACCTTGGCATATCAGGACAACTCTCTAACCAACTGAGCTACCCAGCCAGGGCCTTTTTTCTTTTTTTTAAATATATTCTGGAGATACTTACCTTTATTGGGTGTAGTGATGCAGACATCTCAGTCTGTAGCATTTTTCATGATGACTTTACATAAGGAAATTTTTAGTTTTACTTTAGTTTAAATTATTAATATTTCTCATTATGGTTTATGCTTTTTGATAGAAAGACATTTTTCTATATTTTTGGCAACTGAAGTTTTCCCTCTAAATTCAGCTATGTTCTAAAAATTGTGTTATTTTCACTGTAGAAATGAGAGAATTGTGGTGTCTCTTTCCCCTCTTCAGGACTGGTGCAAAGAGAACTTTGTCAACAGCAAAAATATGATGCTGGTGGCGGAAGTCAGAGCCCAGCTGAGGGATATCTGCGTGAAGGTATTCTTTCTTCTAGTTGTTCTGTGTGGGGGCGAAGCTCTCACTTTTTTCTAGGTGAAAAATGTTTAATTGCTTATAGCCGGTGATTACAAAAGAAACTCTTGTTGTAGGAAAATTTTAGAATAAGAAAGAAAGTAAACATTACCCACGATTCCATCTCTCACCGTTTTGGTCTGTTTCCTCACAGCCCTGCTTTTAAGTGTTTTTACATACTTAGTTACATTGTATATATAACTTATATTCCGCTCTGTGAACTGTAGGAGTATTTTCCAATGTTATTAGAATTCATCATAAGATTTTTAAGGAGGAATATCTTTAATATTTTCAGATTACATAAGTAGTGCATAATTGTTACAAATTGATACAGTGCAGAAAATAGCGATATATAATGCAGAAAGTTTCAAAGCCTCCCATAACCTCGCCCCTCCAAAGATAAACCTCCGTTAACAATCTGATGTAGAGCCTTCTAGAATTTTTTCCTCTGTGTGTGTGTACATACACATGGATACACATATAAAATTTTCTTCAGAACATAAATATGATACACATTTTGTTTTACAACTTGCTTTTTTCCACTTGGTTGACATCTTGAATACTTAGCGTGTCTGGGAGGTGGTGGTACTGAGCTGCATCCTGACAGATGAGGAACTTGTGTCTTCATCAGGCCAGGATCAGCTGATTTCAAAGAACAAAACCCCTCAAGCCAGCTTAAAGGGGGAGAAAGGGGGACAAAGAAGTATCTCTGGAACCCATGGGCAGGAAATAGTCCAGCCCCACAGGCACTGGAATGAGGAACCAGAAAAGGCCATCAGGAGCAAGGGCAGCTTTCTCTGGGCCTGCTTGGCCTCTTGTTTGGCTGCTGTCTGCATGCCTCCTGCCCCTCACCTTCTGCCTCAGCACACAAGCGACTGCTTTGCCTGGCCTCCCACTCAAGGCACCAACAGGGGTTGCTCAGATTTCCCATGTTCAGACTCCAGATGCCTGGAAGAGAGCAGCTGGCCAGTGTGGTCAGGCAAGTGTAAGCCACTGGTTGGTTCAGGTGTGGCGTGAGGTGTAAGTGGCATGACCCGCTCCGCAAGGGTGGTGGCGCCAGGAGACTGGTGGCTGACACTTCCTCTGTGGAGCCAAGGTGTGTTCTGTCTCCTCATGGTGCACATGTGAAGGTCCCCTGTGGAACAGGCCTAGGGGAGAGAAGGCAGTTGAGTTTGGAGGACCTCAGGATGCTCAGCCACAGCTTCCCAATCAGAAGCTTGAGTTGCTTTGCCAGGAGCAGTAGAGACAGTGAAGGTTTTCCAGTGGTCGGAGGATGACTGTTGTGTGCTATGGGAAGATCACATGGCTGCAGCAGGTGAGGGGTGGGTGTGAGGAGGTGATGCTGGAGTCAGAGTCAGAGGGGAAGAAAGCCTTTCCTTCCTGGAACGTCCTGGCAGATATTTCCCTGGGGGTGGGTGCTGCTGGATCACCATGCCTGTGTGTGGTTCACACCTTATATGACTGTCTCCCTTCTGGTCCTACTGGCCCAGGCTGCGGTTTTCCCCTTTTCAGTCCATCCTCCTTCAGCTGCGCCCCCGTGCCCATGCTGATCTCTGAGGCATTTGAGGAAACCACCTCCAAATGGCAACTCTCATTTTGTTAGGCTTGCAGCGTAGGCTGCGTTGTAGCTGCAGTTGCTCCAAATACTGCACAGTGCTGAACAGCATTTATGGCTGGGGCCTTCACTTCTCGCTTCCCCCTGGAACAGATGTCAATGCCGATCGTGTCATCCCGAGGAGACCTGGAGGCGGTGCGCCGCTGCCTGGCCCACAGCCTCTTCATGAGCACCGCTGAGCTTCAGCCGGATGGCACCTATGCCACCACAGACACTCACCAGCCGGTGGCCATCCACCCCTCGTCTGTCCTCTTCCACTGCAAGCCAGCCTGCGTCGTGTACACTGAGCTGCTCCACACCAACAAGTGCTACATGCGAGACCTCTGCGTGGTGGACGCCGAGTGGCTGTACGAGGCCGCCCCGGAGTACTTCCGGAGGAAGCTGAGGACCACCAGAAACTGAGCCACCCCGGGTCCCTGCCAGGCCTGCCGGGGCCTGCAGCTGGGACCACAGCTGTCCTCTCGCAGCCTCCAGCCTGGCGCCTAGAGAAGAGGAGGGTCTAGTGCCGCAGAACGAGCCTGACTTCCTGGGCCTTGCAGGCGTCTTTCTTATAGACTCCTAAGGCTGAACCAAGTAGATGTGTACCTATCATTCTGTTTGTACCTTTGAAACATCAAAATTATGCTTTCGGTTCTTGCTGGGTGATTTTGGGTGACGTAGTTAACTTCTGAGCCTCAGTTTGCCATATGCCAAAGGGGATGATAATACTGATAAGGTTGGAGTCATGAGGTTTAGAGAAAGTGAATGTGCCCAGAGCATGCAGCCCACGGTGAACATATGCTGAATAGTTGGTTTGATGCTACTGCTTTTTACCTAATGGGAACTGAGTACAACAAAATCCCGAGTGCTCAAGACTAAGGGGGACTTTCTAGAAGGTGACTGTGGGAGGTCACAGAGCTCAGATGTTGTCCTTGGATCTATTTTAATGTCTATCTGTATGAAGTTTTTTAATAGAAAGCATAAGAGATTGACATCTGTAGAAGTTTCGGTGGGGAGGTGCTGTGTCTCTTACCTCCCGGGCTGGCTGCCCCTACTGAGCCCCCCCTCAGAGTGTGGGTGCTGGCTGCCTCCAAGCAGAGGACAGTCAAGGAGCACCTGCAGGTTGCTGAGCTGTGCATCTTTGTCCCTGGTGCTTCTGTGGCAGATGTCCTCACCTGTCCTTTCAGGAGGCGTGGAAGTTTCCTGGGTGAAGGTCGATTTGCAGCTTCTGACTCATGCCAAGTATAAACGTGGGAAACTGACCCTGGAGGGTGATGGCCTCCAGCACACCCAGCAGCTGTTGTCCTCTGTAACTGGGCCCATGGAAACACGTGAGCTTAAGGAATGACTCTGCCACATTTCAGCCATTTCCCTTCTGGCAGGGCCCCTGGTCAAGGCGCTGCTGGGGCGGAGGGGAGACACAAATGGTCCATGAGAAAAAGACAGCATTGGCTCATCCCATCCACAACATCTGGCGTTTGTATTCTAGCATCTTATTTATTTTTATCTTTTTCCTTCTTTGGGACTTGGGGACAACCTGGCTTTGTTACCTCCCAACTCTGCCAGCCATCACTCTCTGACCCTTAGCTTCTACATATCTCAGAGGGAATTAGCGGTTCTCCACAGTCTCTTCCTGTCCTCTTTCTGAGAAGGGAAAAGATATCAAAGGTCCTTCTTAGCTATTTAATTATCAAAAGCAAATGAATGTCTTGTCCTAGAAGCAGCCAAGATTTGCCCTTTTAATGTGCTTAATTGACCTAAACATATGTGTGCAGTATTTTGGTCGTTCCTTAACAAAGTGAACCATGCAGTTTATATGCAAGGGGCCAACTGAGAGACCCTTCGGAGGCAGTGGGCGGTCTCTTCACTCTGGACTCTCCGAGACTAGCCTGCCAGAGCTCCCCTTTCCCGTCTCATCTGTCCACGCCTTTGTCTATCAGGTATGCTCAGGCTTCCAGCACACACTGTGGCCCTGAGAAGTCAAGCTTTTATATAGTGTTCAGGGCACCTGTGACTTAATTCTGTTAGAAATATTTACATTTAGGCCAAATAGGATTCAGCAGATCCTATGTACCCTATCTCAGCGATTTTCAACCTTTTTCATCTCATGGCACATAAACTAATTACTAAAATTCTGTGGCACACCAAAAAATATATTTTTTGCCAATCTGACCCAAAAAATAGGTATAATTTTGATTCATTCACACCAGATGGCTATTGTGTTTTTTATCTGACAGTCTAAAGGGAAAGAGGTCGGTGCCCCTGACTAAATAGTCAGGTATTGCATGTTTTACAAATTCTTGTGGCACAGCGGTTGAAAACTCTGCTCTAATTGATTTACTAGACTTTTAGCTGACTCTTCCTCAGATTGACTTGTTTTTACTGTTGATGACTTTCTGAAGTTTTTCAGAAGGTTTTTAAAGTATATTTTTCTCATTCATTTAATAGAGGCCTAGGATGTTTAGCCTGACTTGGTAAACAAATATATATTTTTAATTAAAAAAATTCATCATGCTAGTAAAAAAGTGAGAGTGGGGCGATTTATCCTGTCCCTCCACAAATTCTCAGAATAACTGTGTCCCACTTAAGTACCTAAGGAGTTTCTAGAAAATGTATATTCTTTTCTGAGCAGGAATGAGGGATAAATAGCTTCTAAGTAGCTTTAATGTTTCTGTACAGAAATATATTTATCACTGTAATGTTCTGGTAGAGTTTTAATACAGTAGTTTTTTATTGGGTTTCTTAAAAAGTTAATTTTTAACATAGCTGCTCAGGGATTAAATCAGATTGGAAAACCCATTCTGACTCCATGTTTTACTACAAAGAAGTAAATGGTTATTTATATTGAACTTCAGGGGATGGTTTGTTTTAAACTTAAACTTTCTTAAGGAAGTTGAATGTTTCACAGTGGTGTTGCAATGGAATCTTGAGCTACCCTTTTTCAATTGGCAACATCTCTGCTGGTGTGACCCCTCTTTTCCTGTCTGTGGAATCTCGATCCGGGTGAATCACTGGCTCCCATGAGCAGCTTCATGTACATAGATGCACTCCAAGCAGCTCGCATGTCGCAGGTGTCACCTTCTACTTCCAGTAATCGTGGCCTGTGGGACATCCAGAGCAACACAGATTTCATTACAGGGAGAGAACTGTGACGTTCTCTCCAACACCTGGTCCTTCTGAGAAGCCCTTACTTAATGTTGCATCTCTGCTGGTTGTAAAGAGATGCCAGAATGGAGACATGTTTTTGCTCTGTAGGTAAAACTTTTTATGTACTGGATACACAAATCCATTTAACCCAGCTATCAGGAACTGCTTGGAACGGTGGCCAGGCCTCTGACATACCGTTTTGTGAGCATACAAGGGAACACTGCACCTGTCCAGGGAAGCAAGGGTTTGATTATATTTTATTTGATCAGAATATTATAATTTGCAGAAAAAGAAAAATCAAGTTGTATTTTGAGAATTTGGTTTCGTTCAAATAGACATGGCTCTACAGAAACATCAGTTCTTGTATTTAATGCTCAAACTTGCACATGACTCTCAAATTTATTAAAAATGAATCTTGTACATAATGTGTGTGGCTTTCTTAGATTTCTTTTTCCTTATTTACAGAATGCCGTTTAGAATATACTAAATATTAATCTTATCTCTGCCACTAATTGGGAAAGTTTTCCTTCTTGGTACCTTATATATCCTGTGTGTCCTGGTAATACCGGTGGTAACATCGGTTCTTAACCTAAATCTGATGTAAACCGTACCAAGAAGGAAAACTTTCCCAATTAGTGGCAGAGATAAGATTAATATTTAGTATATTCTAAACGGCATTCTGTAAATAAGGAAAAAGAAATCTAAGAAAGCCACACACATTATGTACAAGATTCATTTTTAATAAATTTGAGAGTCATGTGCAAGTTTGAGCATTAAATACAAGAACTGATGTTTCTGTAGAGCCATGTCTATTTGAACGAAACCAAATTCTCAAAATACAACTTGATTTTTCTTTTTCTGCAAATTATAATATTCTGATCAAATAAAATATAATCAAACCCTTGCTTCCCTGGACAGGTGCAGTGTTCCCTTGTATGCTCACAAAACGGTATGTCAGAGGCCTGGCCACCGTTCCAAGCAGTTCCTGATAGCTGGGTTAAATGGATTTGTGTATCCAGTACATAAAAAGTTTTACCTACAGAGCAAAAACATGTCTCCATTCTGGCATCTCTTTACAACCAGCAGAGATGCAACATTAAGTAAGGGCTTCTCAGAAGGACCAGGTGTTGGAGAGAACGTCACAGTTCTCTCCCTGTAATGAAATCTGTGTTGCTCTGGATGTCCCACAGGCCACGATTACTGGAAGTAGAAGGTGACACCTGCGACATGCGAGCTGCTTGGAGTGCATCTATGTACATGAAGCTGCTCATGGGAGCCAGTGATTCACCCGGATCGAGATTCCACAGACAGGAAAAGAGGGGTCACACCAGCAGAGATGTTGCCAATTGAAAAAGGGTAGCTCAAGATTCCATTGCAACACCACTGTGAAACATTCAACTTCCTTAAGAAAGTTTAAGTTTAAAACAAACCATCCCCTGAAGTTCAATATAAATAACCATTTACTTCTTTGTAGTAAAACATGGAGTCAGAATGGGTTTTCCAATCTGATTTAATCCCTGAGCAGCTATGTTAAAAATTAACTTTTTAAGAAACCCAATAAAAAACTACTGTATTAAAACTCTACCAGAACATTACAGTGATAAATATATTTCTGTACAGAAACATTAAAGCTACTTAGAAGCTATTTATCCCTCATTCCTGCTCAGAAAAGAATATACATTTTCTAGAAACTCCTTAGGTACTTAAGTGGGACACAGTTATNGTTCCCAGCAGAGGGTGAAACCCACGTGTGACCTGATCATACTTCCCTCTCCCGCCGTCCTCAGTGCGTTTCACTTTGGGCTGGGCGTACAGGTGAACCCTGGAAGCTGGCTTTATCCTTCGTCTCTCGAAAAGGGGACTTGGAAGGCCCAAGGTCGTGGCTGGAAGTGGCGCGGGTGCCCTGGCCGGCGCGGCTCAGTGGTTGCCGCGTTCCGAGCACCGAGGCTCACTCCGGTCGGGCTCATGCCCAGCTTGCGGTTGGATCCCCTGTCCGGGTGTGTAAGGGAGGCGGCAACCCATTGATGTTTCTCCCGCCCTCTCTCTAAAATCAATGAAAGCATGTCCTCAGGTGAGGGTTTTTTAAAAGAAAGTAGTCTGGTTATTGTCTTCTGGCAAGTGGAAGAGGCTAATTGAGGACTTGCTTTGTGTGAAACCTGGTTGGATTCATTGTTGCAAATCACTTTTCCAGAAGGGAGCTCAGCTTCCCACTGATAGCATTGCGGGGTTTTTACAGATAAGGACACCTAGGCTTAGCGGATGTGAATTGGACTAAGTCCCAGAGAAGGGTTATTAACAGTCCAGGTCCAGATTTCTGGCTAACCTGGGTCACTTTAAACTGATGGGCTGTTCCTTTTCCTGTCTGTACCTTACGGATTTTCGTTGTAGGGGACAAAGCTTTTGTTGAATTCCTGAGTGATGAAATTAAGGAGGAGAAGAAGATACAGAAGCATAAGTCCCTCCCTAAGATGTCTGGAGGTTGGGATCTGGAAGTGAATGGGACAGAAGCCAAATTAGTGCGGAATGTTGCTGGAGAGAAGTAAGTACTAGGGACCAGTCAACTCCAGGGGCCTAAATCCATGACCCTCAGGACCTGTCCTGTCAAGGCGGGTACTTTGATACATGGTTTCCAAGACACACAAGGATTCATTTGGGTAACTTCATTAGTTCCAGGTGGTTCATTCACTGCACACACATTTCCTCTGGGCTGGTTACTAAAAAGGGTGTCTTCTGTAGCTCGCCTAAACCATTTTTCTAGGGTGAGTCACAGCCACCTTGAGGCCATTATAATGTTCTTAATGAACACTGCATTTCTGCGCCCAGGATCTCAACTTGGTCACCACTGTTGCAGATTATACAGATTTTGTGGCTGAACCTGAAACCATTGTTCCTATGGGAAAGTGGCTTCCAGCACAGCGCCAGAGGGCAGCAGTTACAGAGTGCGTATGCACATACTGCCTGCTGGAGTAGCACAGCCCGGGGGTGCTAGTTCCAAACCTCACATCACTTTTAATTTTAAGTCAAACTTGGAACATGATTTGTCAAGTAAGGATTCTTGCACCTTAAAATTGTCATTAGTTGGTGCTCCTGGCCTGTTCTGTTATTATAACTTCCCACAGGTATTCTGAAGAATGAGTGTTCTGCAGCATATTGTTCTCTGTGTGGCTTCCCTTGCTGGGACCAGGCTGCTCTTGTTCCTTAGCTGACGCAGTTCTCTAGTGCTCCTTCCTTTCTTCTGAGGGGCAGATTTTCTGATGGGAATAAAAAGCTTTTTCTTTTTTTTTTCCTTCTATTTTTATTTTATTTTTTTAAATATATCTTTATTGATTTCAGAGAGAGGAAGGGAAAGGGAGAGAGAGAGAGAAATATCAATGATGAGAGAGTCATTGATCAAGCCCACAACCCGGGCATGTGCCCTGACCGGGAATCGAACCCCAATGGCCTGGATCCTAGGTTGACCCTCAACCGCTGAGCCACACCCAGCCGGGCTAAAAAGCTTTTTAAAGGAGGCATCTATTCCATCCCACCGGCTTTTTGGCTGCTCACTGCCACTGGAGGGTGCCCTGGAAAGACCATGGTGAGCAGTGTCCACTGGCTATGGTCATGCGATAACCAGCGGACACACGCTGGCAGTGAGCCCTGGGATGCTGGTCTGGCCGAGATAAACTGGTGCCTTTTGGTTTGACTTCCAGCAGCTGGCACATAGTAGGCACACTTAGACCTGCTGATTCCATCTCCAGGTGGGATGTAGGCAAGCAGGCTTTTTTGGAAGGTCTGTAATAATACAGATGTAAAGCCAGCTAGGATAGACAAGCATTTTTCAACAAGCATTTTTAACTGTAGCAGGCCTCGGTACTTAACACTCAGTTAAAACTACCCTATTGTGTTTCCTTTTAACTTTCTAGGATCACTGTCACTTTCAACATTAACAATAGCATCCCACCAACATTTGATGGGGAGGAGGAGTCCTCCCAAGGACAGAAGGCTGAAGAACAGGAGGTAAGCTTATAACAAACACTGTAACCAGCCTTTACCTCAGAGTTCTGACAGGCTATCCCAGGGGCTTAGAGGAGCAATGTTTTTGTTTGTTTCATTCCTCTAGTGCCAGAGGGGAAGAGAGAAGGCAGAGGACAACCATCCTTGGGACTTTACTTGTAGAGCAGCAGTTTCGGGCCAGCTTTAGCACCAGGAGTGTGTGGGCCCATTTTTTTCCCAGGGACTGAGTAAATTACCACCTGCAGGCTTAGGCTTTATAGTTTGGCTTTTGTTCTTCTGTTAGAAAGGAACTGGAACTGTCTTTAACCCCTCCATGATGGAAAGTTCTTTGATATTGGAGGTTATTATCATTTGGAGTGTTTCCAAGTGAGGAATGTTCTAAGGTGTCACAGGCTGGTAATAAACACCAGCCACTGAGCCAAGGTACAAGGTAGCAAAGCCAGGAACATCAGAGATTTAACATCAGAAATGTTGGCAAGATCTTTCCTTAGGTTGCTGGCCCTCTTGGTTGGACCTGGATGGTGCCGTCTTCAAAACATTTTAGGAAGCAGTGTGTTAGGCCTAGAAACCACTGTTATGAGGGCCACAGAGTCCCCAGACTTTCTAACTAAGTATGTATCAGTATTGTCTGTCTCAAGACCTAGAATAGAGAGCACAGCTCCCTGGTGACATCACACTGGGATCCGACATTAGGATGGCCCATTAGCCAGATGTACCAGCCTTTGGTCCTGGGCTGTAGGACGATCCTGAAACAGTTGGAAAGAGATCTTGGGCTTTAGGGGCCACCTTTGCAGTTTATGGATAGAGAAACAGTCCAGGAAGATTAAGGACTGATCTAGATCTCAGTTAATTGGCACATAGGTGGTGCTGGAACTCAGATTTCTTCATTCTAAACCTAGTATGTTAAACAGGGTGCTAACAGACGTGAAATACTGTACTAAATGTATGATGCTCTGCCCTCGAAAACAGTCTTTAACTCTAGAAAGGATCAATAGGAAGAGTTCAGCCCAGGTCCTGAACGAGCTACGTGGCTTTAACACTCTGTTTTGAGTGTTCTTATTTGAGAACATATAGCCAAGACTTTAAAAATGGCTGAGTAATATCCTAACAGTGGTGGCTTCCAGACCCCCTGAATTACCTGAGACCTTCGGTCCAGGCAACCAACCCTGGCCAACAAGGGCATGTACTGACTTACTCTTGTTTCCCCAGCCTGAACTGACGTCTACTCCCAATTTCGTGGTTGAAGTTATAAAGAGCGGTGGCAAGAAGGCCCTCGTGATGGACTGTCACTATCCAGAAGATGAGGTATGCAGGGTGGAGTGCTAGCACCTTGGCATCCCTGGGGACAAGTAGGGCCTTGGGAGACCTTACGGGTCTCTTTTCTAGCTTAAACCAGCAAAGCGAGGGAAGAGAGGTACGGGGGGGTAGGGTAGCAAGGTTAAAATCTGGTTGGTTTCGATCTGTAGACAGTCCTTTCCTTTGCATGAGTCTGTCCTGGAAAACCTTTCCGTTTCCTCAACTCCTGTCTCTACCCAGGTTGGACAAGAAGAAGAGGGCGAGAGTGACATTTTCTCCATCAGGGAAGTGAGCTTTCAGTCCACTGGTGAATCTGAATGGAAGGACACAAATTACACACTCAACACAGACTCCTTGGACTGGGTGAGTACTTGATAAGATGGGGTGCTCTCGGGCCTTGTAGGGGAGGTCCTAGTCCAAGGAGAGAGAAAAAAGCATTTAAATCAGCAAGTGTTACAGATGAAGTCTTTTTTTTTGAATGGTAAATGTTCCTCCTTGTAGGCCTTATATGATCACCTAATGGATTTCCTTGCTGACCGAGGGGTAGACAACACTTTTGCGGATGAGTTGGTGGAGCTCAGCACAGCCCTGGAGCACCAGGAGTACATTACTTTTCTGGAAGACCTCAAAGGTTTTGTCAAGAGCCAGTAGAGCAAGACAGGACGCTTTGCCAGTGAACAAAACCTACACTGAAGCCAAACATGTACTTTGAAATGGTTTTCATCCTAATATCATGGGAAATAATTCAAATTTAAATTATTTGTTGCCCTCTTATTTACTATTCATTTGTTTGTTCTTTACAAATCTATTGTTTCTAGATTTTTGTATAACATGATGATGGACAATAAAACTGATTTATCTCTAAAGCGATTTGTCTTTTCTATTTGTGTTTCTTCCCCTTCACCCTGCGTCACCAAACACCAAGAGCCCAGATGTTTGAAAAGTTTTAATGCAAAATAAGTTACAAATGAAAGGTCTGTATTTAGAAGGCCCCCTCTCGGATGGTACAAGTTGTTTCCAACCCAGCAACACGATGTGAGTAAAGGCTGGCTTCAGATGATCACAGCCCGAGCATCGCAAGCCTGGATTTAAATAGAAAGGTTAGCTTAAATTGACTTATATCACGGTTAAAGGTTGTAATAAGTAATGATGTAAGCAGCATTAAAATTCCTACATATGATGAGAGGATGCTGAGTTCAGTTACAGCTATGAAGTAGTAAGAGGCTTTGCTGGATCTCAGTCCTGTGGTCTCGAAACAACTGCCTTTGAAACCCTCAGCAGCAAGGTCGTCTTCAGGCTAACATCAAATGCTGGAGATGGACTGACCAAATATCCTCACCCTCAGGAAACCCATGACCAGAAGTTATTCACACTTCTGAGAGCTGGCAGCTATTACAGCCTAGCAAGGAGGTGAGGTTCCTTCAACTTAACATAAGATTGAAACAGGCACGCACCACGGGAAGGTACAAACTATGCACACTGACTACAATCAGTTGGCCTATTCGGGCTTTCTGATTCTTCCTGATTCAGTTTTACATGATCTCACTCATGTGGAATCTAATAAAACTGAGGAACAAAATAGATCCAGAGACATAGAAACATGGAACAGACTGAGGGATCTCAGGGGGAAGGCGGCGGAGGGGGGGGATTAATCAAAGAACTTATGCATATGTGCATAACCCAGGGACACAGACAATAGTGTGGAGAACTTGGGGGAAGGGGGTGCGGGGGGGGGAGATCTAATACTTTCAACAATAAGGATTTAAAAAAAAGCCCGATGCTGCCCTGCTGTGCTTCCTCTTCTGTCCTGCAAAACTGGTACCAGGATGGCCCATTTGGGTCTTACGACTATGAAGTAATCAGCTTCATCTAAGACCACTGCTGCCAATCAAACGAGTAGGCAGTGCAGCCAGGCTTCCTAATTCAAGACCAATGCACCTTCCACCCTCCTGTGCTGCCTCTGTCCTTCCCCTTTTAGGAAACAACTGGCCTTTTTGTAAAACTGGTTGTTACCTTCACTTTCCTATTCAAGTAAACTCAGAGCAAATGTTTAAATGCTCTTTAAACATTTACCTGTTTCCAAGCTATTATTTCTACCAGAGCAGGGATAAAACCAAGCACTGACCTCGTACCACTGGGCCCCATGGGAGGCTTACCAGACAGCTCATGAGTAGACTGGACTTTTTTTCTGTCCCTTCAGCAACTGAAAATATAGGTGTGTGAGGACAGTGTGCACTATGCTCATTCACGTTGACCTCTAAACAGGTACGAAGTTTCTGCTCAGTGAATTCTGGAGACTAAAAAATAGAAAAGTTAAGCTGCAACCTAATCTTAGCTAGCTCATCATCAACAGACTGAAAATCCTTATTCCTCACGATAACCAGTATCTGTGATGACTTGATTCCTTGGACCTTTAAAACCACTCGGGCTCATGGTTGTGCTATAAAGATCTCTTAACCAACCTCCATCTGACTGCCTCTCCAGACAACCAATGCTCTCCACTCCTGCTATAAAACACACTGCCACTTCAGCACCAGGGACACTCAGAGCCTCCCTTATGCTCTGCCTCCACCAGCCAAATGCATTTCTACCAAGAGCCAGCACTGCTTGGGCCCAGGTCTGTCTGCTCACTGAACTTGCTACTGTAACTGAGTAATTTAATTACATATTATATAAACCAACAAAATAAGAATGAAAACAAAGCTGTTTTTTGCAATAAGTGGGATGTTTAGGAAACACTCAAAAAGATGAGTTGCTTTAAAAAAAAAAAATGTTGAATTAAGCAAAAGATAGGGAGAAAAAGTCCTAAAGTACACTCGGCTTCTCAACGCACTTTTCAGAAACAAAACTGGAAGCTCTATACAATGCATTATAAGAGTGGTTTATGTAAAAGACTCAGCTCTTCAATCAGCAGAGCCCCAACTCAAGGACTGGCAAATAAATGTATATGCTTAAAACTTACTATGTTTTATTTTTATAATTTTTCACTTTAACCAACTGACAAGCTTTCAGGCCCTGTCATGTCAGATAAGAGGGCTCCTGTATTTTAAGATCACTGAAGCTTAAATTCTGAGTGTAGGGGTGTCTTCATATATGGACAATTTTTATGGATAAGTGTTTAACAAAGGGCTCTGGGGATTGGGCAGGGACACCCTGATATGTAGCGCTTGCCAATTTCCATGCTGTATATATTCTCACCGCGGCTGATTTCAAGCTACCAATGTTAACTGAATATGCTTTGGCGAAAGACGTGCACAGTTGGCTCCAGCACACCACTGAAGGTTCTTAAAGTAAACAGATATATGTGGAAAAAGGTGACAAAAAACCCATGTGTGGAACACTTACATGAGATGGGATGTACAGGCCACACTGACACATGACCACACCGCTTGTTATTCTCAGGTTGTACCTAGAGGCAGAATTGGGATCCCAGAGCTTCACGGCCAGCACACCAAGATCCCCAAAACTTTCCAGACAATAGATGTGGAGGGGAAGTTCCACTCACTTTGGAGTGGAGAGTGGGAAACAATAATGCAGAAAAGGTTTGGGAAACTCTTACTTTGTACACACAGGACAGATGAGGGAGTTTGCTTCCCACTCAGCCAGTATGATGCTGAGGCACTTTTCATCAAACTGCAAGCTCTTCTCATATTCACTGATGATGGACTGTTCTGCAAGGCAATGGACAGTTGGAGTGCTTCACCATGTTGCATTCGAATGCCCTGTGTTTAGTGTAAGCTTCATCTTCAAAGGCTTCATCCAGTAAGAGAAAAATTCAGGCAAAATCATGCTACCAATCTCTAGATATTGACTCATCTGTCAGGCTTCCTCTTGTTAGATTCCTCCCCGCCTGTCTGGCTTCAACTTGTGAGCACAAGAGGTGCAGTGGTGAGGCTGAGAGACAAGGAGGAAGCTTTCACACACATCTCCTGAGGCCATAAAAGCAGAGATGTAGAGTGTCAGGGTCCCAGGGGCAGCTGGAGAAAGCTGACAAAGGGCACTTATTTCTGATGCCGGCCTACCATGCTGAGTCTAAAGTGATCTGTCCCCTAATGTCCATATGCTCAGAATCTGTGTTATTCAGAATCTATGTGTTCATTCATTCAGCAAACATGCAACAACACCCAGTATGTGGTAGGCATGAAAGAGACTGGTCCCTGTTCTAGATGAGCTCACAGTCTAGACTTTAGCTCAGGGGTCAGTAAACCACAGCCCATATCCAGCCCAACTTCAGTTTTTTAAATAAAGTTATACTGGAATATAACCATGCTCATTTGTTTATGTATTGTCTGACTGTTACAACAGCAGAACTGAGTAGTTGCAACAGAGAAAGCATGGACCACAAAGCCTAAAATATTTACTATCTGGACCTTTACAATCTGTTCTAGAGTGTTCCTTATAGCAGAACACGGTGAATCTTTACCACTTTAGATGTTTTAGTTAAACATACCCCAAAAGAAATATTTAGTGAGTCCTGTGTTTCACTACTAAGATAGGTTTTGTAGGTGAAGGTGAAGGGTGAATCAATAAAAAAAGATAAATAAAAAAATCTATAGTCTAACTGGAGTCAGTAATACTAATCATAACAACTAACACTTGAATAGCACTTACAATTTGTCAAAGGCTACTTTAAGTCCTTTACACATATTAACTTATTCACTACTATTATCCTTAAAGATGAAGAAACTGAGGCACAGAGAGATTAAGTGCTCTGCCTAGTGCTGCACCAGTTAAAGTGGAAAAGCTAAGAAGTGAACCTCAGCAGTCTAGCTCAAGAGTCCATGGTCTTGCATCCTCATAATAATAGTTATCATTTGTTGAAATCTTTCTATATGCCAGACAGTTCTCTAAGTCTTCTGCACATATTAGCTAAGACTACAAACAAACGTATAGGGTAGGTCTATTATCTCTGTTTTATAGATGATCACTTACTAAGCCTAGTCAAGATAGGGCTATGTGGAATAAATGAATTATATGAGGTGCTCAATCATGCACTCTACGGTGCTTTGAATGCCTCAGTGAGCAGATGCTCACAAGACCCTGGGGAGTCAGTAGAGAATGTATGAGAGAGGATACTTAAATTAGGTAGTGCAAGAGATCGGATCATGCACTGTATCCTACAAGGTGACAGGATTCATCTATTAATAGAGAGGTACCATAGGATAGTAGATGAAGCATGGGAACTGGATTCACAAAATTGATTTTGCTTCCCAACTCCACCACTAGCTGTGCAGCCTGTGTAAGATACCACTCTCTTCTGTCTCCTATTACCTTGCAGGGTAGTCACAGGGAGAAAGTAAGCATGGAATGAGAAGTCTGAGCACAAGGCCTAGCATATTTAAGACTCGTATTAGTAGGAAGACAGCCAGTCAAGACTTTAGAGTAAAAGCAGATCTTCTGGATGCTTGACTGCTGACAGAACTAGAAAAAGGGAAGTTAAGAATTAACTCTGTTTAGAATAAAAGTGAGCATTAGAGTAGCTAGATATAGGCAGGAAAGACCATTTTCAGAGGTCACCTTGGTCAATCAGCTCCTGTTGGATTTCCTCCAGCTCAGCGAAGTCCATCAGCTCCTCCCACTGCAAGAGAAAGTGGGGTCATCAGAGGTTTGAAGTTATAATCAGCTGAAAAGCCCCACAATGATTCATATTTGGAGGCTGGCTTGAAGAACCCAGGTTTACCTGAGGGCATCAGTCAGTCCAGTCCTTCTGTAGACTATGCTAACAGTGGGAATTGTGGTCATGCTGAGAAGACATCAACAAGTGATTAAACTACCCAGTGACAAAATAGTGGCACTTAACTGGGGGAAGACCATATAGGGCCGCAGCCAAGTATGTGGTTCTGCCAAAGCTATGTGACTGCCAGAAAGTTCCTAACCTCTGTAAACCTTAGTTTAGGCTTCTGTTAAGTGGGAATAAAAACTAGCTGAGAAGGTTATTTTGAGTACTAACTGTGATTACATAGCACAAACATTTGGAATACTGTAGGACACATAGAAGGTACTGAACAATGCACGATTATTATAGAGAGCCTTGACATTTTCAAAGCAGTTTCCCACATGCTTTCTCATATAGTACTCACAATAATGACATTATTGTCTTCATTTCATAAATATAAAAACTAAAGGTCAGAGAGGCAGAGTGGAGTTAAGCAATAGCAAAACCAGGATCAGAATTCCAGAGCTCATGATTTCCAATCCAGTGCTCCTCCTGACACACGGTAAATGGTTTCCTATCCACACTCAGCTCCCAACTCTGACTGAGATTAGAATCAGAAAGCTCCTGGAGACCTTCTTAAAAAGAAAGATTCCTAGCCCATGCCTACTGGATCAAAACTTCCAGGGGCATAGCCAAGGTGTGAAATTACTTCCTTTATAGTTTCATAAGTATTAATATAATGCAATGACACAGCAAGTCAACAGTCTGGCACTTAGGAACCATTAATCTAAAACAGTCTTTAACGTTAAAAGTAGAAGAACCTGGGTTAAATAAAGGCTGTTAGAATCCTGATTCTGGGCTTGAGGGTATATGAGTTTAGAGGACTCAGGAAATAGGTAGAGAGAGGACACTAGGTGTTCTTGGTGCTATCACACCCTCCCCGAAAACACATATCCCAGCCTGACCTGAGCCAAGGCCTCTGGACAGCTTTCCATTGATTGCAAAGCATTCCACTCTTCTTCCATCAACTCTTGTACTAGGAGGGTGCTCTGAGCTCTCCCTGGCATATTGCCTCCAGCCTGGCGGTATTTGTTCAGGAGCCTGTCCCGGCTGTTTCTCATTCTCTCCAGGCATCCCTTGGAAGGAGGAGAAAGGTGGCAAAGGGTAAGAGGTGTGGGGAAGGGAGGAGGGAGAAGGTAATTCCATTAAAAAACACACACACACAAAAAAAAAAAAACCTCTTACTTAGTTGTTAAAACATTAAAGAAAATTTAAAGACACAAATGATCAACTCTAATCCAAACTATTATTAATTTCGCATATTCCCCTCCAGTCCTTGTCCACATGTAGATAGATGAAATTACAAATGCATTGTTCATATATTTCCGGATCACCATATTTCATGCTGTGCTGTCTTCAATGCCAGCCTCCTCAATGGTTGCATGATAATAGCTCAACATCCACTGTCCCATTACAGGGTATTTAGGCTGCTTCCAAATTCTTGCTGCTCTAGATACAGCTACAGTAGTCACCTTCCTGTGCAACAGTGTTTCTCAACTTGGGGCAATTTTGTTCCCCAAGTGAAATCTGGCAATGCCTGGAGACATTTTTGGTTGGCTAGTTTCAGGGCTACTGGCATCCAGTGGGTGAGGCCAGAGATTCTGCTAAACATTCTACAATGCACAGAACGGCCTCTCACAACAAAGAATTATCTTCCTCAAAATGTCAATGGCCAAGTTGAGAAACCCTGATGTCAACAGTCATCTCTAGCATCAAATCATATTCCCGGGATATATCCACTACTTATGGGATTCCCGCAGTCATAGGCAATACTGCTCACAGGGAGCAGGCTGAGTTCAGACTAGGTCCGAACTGAGGTCAGGTACAACTCTGCTAAGCCAGTAACCGAGGCTCTTCTCAACAGACGCTTTCTCCTGAATAGAAATAATTTCTCTCTTGCATGAGGTACGTATACAGTATACTAAGTGCCTTTCTCGTGCCCACCTACCCAACAGCAGCAGGTGTTGTTACTGTGGAGTGCAGACGGGGTGGCCGTGGTCACGCTTCAAATTTAAAACAAACCCAAATCCAAAAGTAAAGGGCCTGCCAGCCCGGGCTAATCCCACACCCAGCAGTCTAAACATTCCGGGAGGCGGCCTGGAGATGGCGAAGACCCCGATCTGCAGGAGGGAAGCCTGAGTCCCAGGTCCACCTCCACCGGCCAGGCTCTCCCGGCACCTGCCTCACCCGGCTGGGCTGAGGGGAAGGCACTGAGGAGAGCGGTTCCTGGACGGATTAGGGGAATGACCACGGCCCTGCCAAGGCTTCCCGAACCCCACACTCACCTGCCTGAACGTCTCTTTCCATGGAGGCGAGCCCACCAATTTGTACTGCGAGCGGCGCTGGCTTACTGACTGCTCATCCATCTCCGTTACTCGGAAGTCGCCTCCAGAAAGCCCCGCCCCCGAGGGCACACAGAACCATGGGAGTTGTAGTTTCTGGTTGCTGACGGTACTACACAGCAGGGGATTCTGGGAAGTGTTTTACCGGTCGTCTTCACACGGAGACAGATTAGTGCAACCCAAGGATGGGTGACTGCGCCAGTGACATTTGTGAAGTTAACCCACCCTGGATTAAGGGAGTTAAGTCTCGAGGGGAGACTCTGGATGCCTAAGTTTACCCAGGTGGAGGTGTCCATCAAGCAGCCAGATACACGGGGTCAGGTTCTCCCCCAGGTTCCAGACTTTCCGCGGCACCAAAACTTGAAGCAAGCACTGGCCCGCTGACTCCCTCGTCCCGCCTCCTCCGGCTGGACTGGCGATTGGCTTTCCACTGGCGCTGCCCCTGCCTGATAGGCTATCCTCATAACCTTCGCCCCTAGCTCTAGCCCGGTGCTTCCGGGCAGCCTGCACGATGATTAGCCAAAAGCCGTGGGAGGCCGGCCGCCGATTGGCTGCGCGTAGCGGCGGGCTGAGCAATTGGAATGAGGGGAGCAGTTGGGCCAAGATGGCGGCCGCCGAGGGTCCCTTGGGCGACGGCGAGCTGTGGCAGACGTGGCTTCCTAACCACGTCGTGTTCTCGCGGCTCCGGGAGGGACTGAAAAACCAGAGTCCAGCCGAGGCCGAGAAGCCGGCTTCCTTGTCCTCGCCTTCGTCGCCGCCGCTGCCGCCGCAGTTGCTAACAAGAAACCTGGTCTTAGGCCTCGGCGGGGAACTCTTCCTGTGGGACGGAGAAGGCAGCTCTTTCTTAGTGGTTCGCCTTCGGGGCCTCAGCGGCGCGGGTGAGGAGCCTCCCCTTTCCCAGTACCAGGTACGGCCAGGCTAATCGTGGGTAAATGACCCTCAGCTGGGATCTGAACGAGGCGGTGGTTTGTTGAGGTTGCTGTCCCCTCCCCATCTGGCTATTTCTCGTCTTCTGGCGGGTGTGCTCTTCACGTGTAAGCAGACGTCGGACTTCTAGTGGAAAGCTCTCTCTTCTTTACTTCCATTCCGCTCTAACCTTTTGTAGCCGCGCTTTTGACCCCGACACTGTGCCAGACACAGTTACAGGCGCTCGTGCTCTCGGGGTGCTGCAGTTCTTGGGGTCTGGGAGGAAGGGCAGGACCGCGGAATGCTCAGCGAGTAACATCGGGGATGCGGGTGCTCCGCAGGACAGCAAAGCGGGGCGAGGGCATAGAGTGTGGGTGCAGCTGCTATTTTCCGTAGGCTGGCCGCGAGAAAACTCCACGACGGGACACTCAGCAGGGATGATCCCAACTTTTTCTTGGGGGCGGGGCGGGCTCGTGAGTGTCGAGTCACGTGATAGATTCGAAAGCACCAGGTGTCCGGCCCGACCCAGAGGAGGAATCTCCCCTGTGCATTCTTCCACTTTCCAGAAAATTAGGCCATCCCCAGGGTTGGAAGGGGTCTTCGTTTGTTTCTCATGAGCCACCAGCATGTGGAAGCGGGTGTGGCCAGAACGTGTTCCCATCCTCTCTGTAACCGAACATTGCCTTCTGGAGATTGTTTATTTGCCATCAACCGATTCTCTTCTCTTAAAGATTAAAAGCTAAAAAAGCTGGGCACCCGTTGTAACGCATTGACATCTGCTGTGTGCCGTTGGCCGGCTCTTGTCGATGAGAAATAACCTGAAGTTAAAGAGGTGCTAGATATATTTTTGCAGTTTTGAAAATAGGTCGTAAGCCTGCAGTCTGCCTGCTTTACCGGTTCAGTTTGCAAGAATCATTTACAGGGTGCTCGGCGCTCAGTATTCCCCTGGCACCCTGCGTGGCTGTGCAGCATGTGGCACATGCATGATGGAATCATTCCTACTTGTTTGTTTATTGCCCGCTTTTCCAGACAGGCAACACCAAGGCAGAGTCTCTGTGTGCCTTAGGTATATTTTGTATATCTCCAGTATTTCACCGAGCGCCTGGAACGTGTCAGCTCTCAGTAAATACTGGTGACTGTCTGAATGACCCTCAATCCTCCAGAATATCAGAAACTCGGAGAAAGCAGCTTAGCTTGAGTTGTCAGTTCAAACGTTAACAAGAGCAGAGTGGTGACTTAGGAACAAGAAAACCCTAAAGACTGTGTTTATCACAAGTGATTTAAGGTAATTGGATTGTGTGTAGCAAAAAGGTGGCCTCTTTGATTGGAGGTAGACTGTCAAAATCAAGTAGGAAGAAAAGGGGGGTTGAGAAAATAGGGAAAAGCAGGAAAGACCCACTAACAGGAGGCAAAACAGTTTCATTAGAATCCACAAAGGGCAACTAAAAAAACAAGCTCACAGACATCAGTCAGAACGAATGGAAACCTTGTTATGTTATAATCCTCGTCAAAGGAATTTTGGCTTAGTGGGATTCTCCGTACGTAAGGATAAGCAGTACATTGGCAGTTTCATGGTTTATTACTAGAAGAAGAAAGAAAAGAATGGGAATGTGGTAACAGAAGAAATGGGAAGGAGTGACATTCTGCTGAGGGCATGTGATGCTGAGATAAACTTCCATATCTGCATAGGTAAAGCACCATCGTCCTTGCTGCAGAAACTCCTGAACCCATTCTCTGTCTCACTGAACTACTTCTAAGATGTAGTAATTATTACTTATTAGTACTTCTGAGTTCATTTGTTTTTTCACTAAAACATGGAGAATAAGTCAGCAATATGCCGTATATTATGCTAAAAGACAGAGGAAAGACACATAATTCATTCTAAGTAATTCATAGTTGTATGGGATGAGCAAGTAAAAGGGTAGTTAGAATGCAGGGTGATAGGAACTATAATAGAGTGTGCTGAAGGAGCCCAGAAAAGGTGCATTTACCCCTGGGGTATTCTCTTGGGAGGAAAGCCTGTCTAGGCTGACACTAGTCAAGTAAGACAGGAAGAGGAGGGCCTGCAGGAAGGGGTAGCTACACAGAGGTGCACATAACAGCATAATGGCCCGGGCTGGTTTGCTCAGTGGTTAGAGTGCTGGCCCGAGAACTAAACGGTTAGGCTCAGTTCCAGTCAAGGGCATGTACCTCAGTTGCAGGCTTGACCCCAGCCCTGGTCGGGGCACGTGGGGGAGGCAGCCAATTGATGTCTCTCTCACATCAGTGTTTCTATCTCTCCCTCCACCTCCTCCTCTCCCTCTATCTCTCTCCCTACCACTCTGAAAAGCAATGGAAAAAATATCCTCGGGTAAGGATTACAAAAAAAAGAAAAAAGAAAAGAAAGGAAAAAAACACATGATAACATGACAAGTTAATCTGATTGGAGTATAAAGTACAAGTGGGGAATGGAGGAGGATTGAGGCTGAACTGGGAGGCTGGAGCTTGCTCATAAAAAGGGAAATTGTTTGCGGTATTTATTTATCAAGGTAGGGAAATTTTATGCACTTTATAACATTCTAGTCAAAATGGTTAGAACTAGTTCTTCAGTTAATGGCCCAGGTGTTAGTAATTAAACAGAATGCTTCATTATCTTAGGAAAACTAAAGCAGTACTGTGCTTTCAAGTAACTGCCATATATATTTACATTAAAATTAAGTATTTTGACCAGTTTGCTTTAATTTCAGAGATTGCTTTGCATAAATCCACCCCTGTTTGAAATCTATCAAGTCTTGTTAAGTCCAACACAACATCATGTAGCACTTATAGGAATAAAAGGACTTATGGTATTAGAATTACCTAAAAGATGGGGAAAGAATTCTGAATTTGAAGGTGGAAAATCAACAGTGAATTGTAGGTAAGTTGTATTTCCATTTAGTGTTTATCTTTATAATTTTTAATACACATAGAAAATTATTCTAGACCAGTGGTTCTTAAGGTATGTTTACTGTAAATACTCCAGATGGTCTGCACATTGGCATCTTATGATAATAATATTGATAGTATGTGTGTGATTACACATGTGTGATATTCTACCTGAATTATCTCATTACTCTCTCATTAGAAGCCAGGCTATTTTTCAAGTAGGTAGAAATAGGTTTATTAAAAGCAGTTACTATCTATGAGCCAGACAGTTTGCTCTAAGTTCAACTAAGTTTTATTTTTGTATTATTTTCTTTTTCAACAAATTCAGAAAAGTGAGTCTGAAAGATCTTCTGAAAAGAATATAAGGCCGAAACTCATCTTTAGCTCCACAACTTATAGGTTGGGTCCCCTTAAAGTGTTTCTAACTCTCTATTTTCTCATTTCCACAATACGAAAATCTGCTTTTGTATTTTCCTTACAAGGTTACTAAAAGGACCAAATAAGATACTATATCTAGAAATATTTTTGATCCTTTGATATTGAATAGATGCTTTGAAATCTTTTCCCAGCAAGACTTGAGGGAAAGACATATGAAGGAAAGCAGAGCAAAGAGTTTTAAAATAGATTTTCCTATATAAAATTTTTCATCCAAGAGCTACAAAATGTTTTGGAAAATTGTTGTTTTTATTTTAGTACCACTCCAATTGCTGAGAGATTTTTCACCAGTTCTACCTCTCTGACTCTAAAGCATGCCGCCTGGTATCCAAGTGAAATGCTGGATCCCCACATAGTGCTGTTAACATCAGACAATGTAATAAGGTAAAGTTTATTTTTATGTCTTATAGCTTTGTGAGTGGGAAGGTTCTGTTTCTGTTTGCCAGTTAATAGCTCAAGATACCACTAAATGGGTCCTTGGATGTTAGAATGCTTTATCTGATGGCTGTTGTAACCCATTCTCAAGAATTGTCTAACTGCTCTAACTTACATGCCTTAATTACTGCTATTCCCTCTCAAGTAGTCTTCCTGCCTCCAGTCTCTCCTACTCTAGTCTGACTTGTAAGCACTGTTAATCTTCCTAAAACTCTTTTCATTATGTCACTATTTTGGAGGTAATGTAGCTTAGGGGAAAGAGAATATAATTGAGAATTGAGAAATTTGAATTCTTGTCCCAGTGCCATTTCTGTCTTTGAGACCTTAAACTTCTTTTTAGAGGCACCTTAGTTTCCAGTTTATAAAATGAGCAGATCTGATTTGATAATTTCTAAGTCCCCTTCCAGGTTTTGTACTTGATGATTAAATGCTCTAATCCTACAGAGATTTCTATTGTCAGTTAACTTTCTGGATCTGCCTTATATAAAAAGTTTATGGGGAGTCTCAACTAACTGAGATACAAATACCTCCATTTTATTTTTTCTAATCACTGCTTTTAACTGTGCTCTACCAAATCTTCCTTCCATACTGAATGCTTGATCCCTTAATGGCATCTTATACAGATCTTACAGCTTTCTGGTTACTTTTAGGTATAAAGACTAAGTCT